TAGGGAAAAAAAGAAGTTCCATACAATTGATCTGACACTGGGGGATTAGACATTTTTATGCTTCCCTCCTTCATCTTTTCCTTAACAAAGCTTGACCTTTGTCCCAGGAGTGAATTTTCATGTTTTCCTGTAAAACCTACAAATAGCAGGGAAAGGACGCCATTCAAATTGGAAATATAACATTTTCAGAGTAATCTCCACACTATTGGCCTAAACGTATTTAACTGTATATGCATTTCATGTAAGCCACCCTGAGCCCGCCACAGCAGGGAGGTTGGGATATAGATTGAATAAATAAGTAAGCAGAGTGTCAGCCATTTCATTTCTGCATGTGTGTCATGTGCCATCAAGTTGCTTCTGACTTCTGCCTGTCCTCAGGTTGCCAATCATCACAGCATGTGAACTTCCCAGCCTGCAGTTGGCATGCATTAATGGCCTCCAAAACATCCTCTCTCTTACAGCTTTGGTCAGGTCTGGCAAAAGGAAGGCTTCTTTTATTGAGTGAATCATGTTAGACTTTCCTCTTTTCCAACCAACTTCAACTTTCCTAGCATTTTGTTCAGTGTATATATGAAGGCAGACTTTTCAGTGTAGATTTTGTCCTCACACACCACACTAGCTGGAATATTTTGTTTCAATGGTTTATTGGAAAATTTAGTGCAGTAATGCAGAGCAGGGTCTTCATGTTTCAGCTTCCTCACTTGTAGATGCACCATCCATAGTGAAAGGGTTATTCTTTAAGATGGCGGCTTTCCTACTCACTGGGATAGTATAATATAAATAGCTTTCCTCATACTGTATATATGTCACTCATTCCATTCCCTACTTGCTTCCAAGAGCCTTGCTGGGGGCCAGTGACAAAGGAACAGGTAAAAGTGTAGATGGGCAGATGCTGGGGGTACTTCTTCATCTGATGTCGATATAAAATCATGTTCAATAAGACCAGCCATGTGAGGTTTACATGATGAACAGAAATTGAAGTGGTAAATGTGACGTATGTGTGCCACAAGTCTCTGCCTTTTTAATCCAGTGAATTTAAATCCAGGGGTGTGTGCCTCTGTTTTTTTTTAGTTATTATTTATCATTATATAGAAGAGATATGTAAGAATTCAATGAATACAAAGCATTAAAAATAAGTTATACAATGTTCTCCCCCTGTTTTCGTTATCAAGGCAGTTTGAGTGAGACAAGGAATAAAGACCTCCCCCCGCTTGACATAGTGCCTGGGTGTTTTAATTTCCTCAATTAACCTCCTTCAGCTCAGTCAAGGCTGGAGGACTGCCACAGGCAGGGGAGGGTTTTTGCCTGGCTGCAGACTCACTTCCTCTCATTGTGCATCTCTCGCACAGTAATACACGGCCGTGTCTTCAAGTTTCAGGCTGCCCATTTGCAGATACGCCGTGTTGGAAGGGTCGTTCCTGGAGATGGTGAAGCGTCCTCGCACCGAGCCGGCATAGTATTGGGTGCCTCCGCCACTGTTTATATATGCCACCCATTCCAGACCCTGTCTAGAAGCGTGTCTTATCCAGTTCATGCCATAGGTACTAAAGTCATACCGGGAAGCTTGACAAGAAAGGCGGAGGGACTCTCCGAGCCTTTTGACATCTCCTCCAGACTCCACCAGCTGGCCTTCTGAGAGGACAACTGGAAAAGAAAACATTTCAGAGACATGACTCAGATTGATGTCTCAAATGCAACTATAACCTCTTCTTGAATGAAGAGCAAGAACAAAAATTACCTCTGAATATTGCTGAAAAGAAGATAAATTGAAACCATGGTACCATTTTCCTCTGATTCTGTGAGGGAAATAATGGGCTAGATGTTCTCTGTTGCACACAGTGGTGTCTTTTGGTGAAGAAGAAGAAGAAGAGATTGGATTTATACCCCGCCCTTCACTAGCCAAAGGTGTCTCAGAGCAGCTTACAAACTCCTTTCCCTTCCCCTCCCCACAACAGACACCCTGTGAGGTAGGTGGGGCTGAGAGAACTCTTGACAGAAACTGCTCTTTTTCAAGAACAGCTGTGCCAGAGTTATGGCTTGCCCAAGGTCATCCAGCCAGGTACAAGTGGAGGAGTAGGGAATCAAACCTGGTTCTCCCAGATTAGAGTCTGCACACTCAACCACTACACCAAACTGGCTGCTTTAAACAGGAAGCTTTCACTGAATTTACATACTGCCTCAGCATAAAAGCCCTTTGTCAGTGCTATACCGCTTAGGCTGTGATCACACACACTAAATAATCTACTTTCAATCCACTTTTAGTGCACTTTGCAACTGGATTTTACTGTGTAAACTGGTAAAATCCAGTTAGAAAGGGCACTGGGAATGGAATGGAAGTGGACTATTTTGTGTGTGTGATCACAGCCCTAGATTCAATGTACCTATGATTTGGAAGAATCCCTGCTTATTTGTATTGTGACAATGAACAGGACAGGAATTAGGTATGTCATGAATGTGACAAGAAGGCAGAATATCCTGTCATGGAGGTTTTCAACAAATGAGTCAATGGGTGTCCATCAGGGAGGCCCTCATGAGCAAAACTCTCCACAGGATACAGGGCTGAAACTCTGAGGGGAAAGCAGATCAAATTCCCTTTCTCTCCTTCTTTGGCTGATGCAAACCACAGGTGGAAAAGGAAGGAAGAGGTTAGTTGCACCTGATTGTCTCTTCTTGTCTGCAGTGTCCCATCAAGAGGCACATTTGGCCAGTGAGTTTCTCCCAATGTTCTGAAAAGAGTTCCAGGACAAGCTGCTTGGGGGAGAGGGCAGTGGGGAAAGGTCCATTTTGCCAGGTTCTCCTGTGAACTCTTCTGCTGGATCCAACCCATGTTGCAAAAGAAGAGGGGGGGGATGTCATTAAGCACTATGAGAGACTTTGTTAATGGCCCTCTCTACGCCTATTTTCCTAACCATGTTGATCTTGTTTCAGAAATATAGTTCAGAAATAGAGTTTTTCTCTCTCAGGCTATCCCCCAACACTCACAGAGTTGTTGTGAGGATCGTGATACACACCTCACCGTAGAGAAAGGATGAGATAAGATTTGACACATTGTAAACAAAACAAACACCAAAAAACTGCAGGGCTTCAATGGCTCACTCAGTGGAGTGAAGGATGGTGAAGGGAGGTCGGTGGGGCTGGAAGAGTTCTGAGAGGACTGTGACTTGACCAAGGTCACCTAGAAGGCTTCATTAGGAGGAGGAGTGGGGATTCTCCAGTTCTCCAGGTTAGAGTCCGCTGCTCCGAACTACTGCACCATGCCGGCTTTCCAAGGAAGTCAGTTAGTACATCTATTTATCTTCACATTCCTAGTCTTAGCTACACCTGCTGAGGAGCAAAATCCTAAGGCCTGTTTCTGACATTCATTTATGCCCTTACGTTTCTCATCATTGGATTATGCTAGAACTGGGCAGGAGAGAATCATTTACAGGGTGAAGGTCCTTAAGGACATCTGGCTGTAACTAAAAAACAATGGCCTGATTTGGCATGTTTGATATTGAGACACATTACTAGCCTATTTCTTCCAGTGTTTTCCATATTTTTCCCATATTTATTTCTATTTTTCCCTCTCCCCAGAGAAATCAGATCTTGTGAGAAGGAATGGGATTTTCAAAGTTTTGCCCCGACAAAATGGTTCTGTCTGCTGCCGCAATGAATACTGCAACTTGATACATGACGGGGCACCTGGAGAGCGTCTAGTTGGAACAAAAGAGATTTAGCCTGTGTCGTCTTGACATGTGTAACTGGAACACCTCTGTCATTGATTTCCGTGTTATTTTCTCTCTCCCCCCCCCACAATACACTCCACCACAATAAATTAGATGCCAGGAACACAGGAGATCTAATTTTTGAAGCTCCCCTCCCTCCCCCATTGCTCTGTCCACTGGAAGAAATTCAAAGACGTTTTCATTTCCTTTAGCATCTCCTA